CTTATCTACAAAATATCATTTATCTTTTGTCAACATAGGTCATAATTATTAGTGTCTTTTAAATTTCAAAATGGGTGGTTGTAAGAGTGTCATTTAATAGACATAAAGTTCTCAAAAACATTTTTTTGGACTTCACGACTTGCCATCCAATTTGACATCTAAATAATGAGAATGATTGTGACCTCCATGTACAAAAGATAACTGGTCTCTTTATAGACAATTCCAAAACAAAAAATGAATAACAAAAAGAAAAAAAAAGTTATGCAGCGAGATAAAGAACAAAAGATTACCATGTTTGGTGAACTACAAGATTAATCTTATTATGAAAGCCCCATTAAAATAAAGAGGACCAAACATCACCCACATGAAAGTGTGCTTTATTTTGATTATTTAGAGCCTCGGCTTTATATAAACCGCACCATATTATTAATACTTTGTTACTATTAGGGGTTAGGAAAGACAAATTGATTCAAGTGGAAAGCTTTAAATGGGCAAGAGGAAGGCCTAAACAGATATGGATGTAAGTAGTGAGAAGATATATGACGACTTACAATCTAATTGAAGACATGGCTCTTGATAGAGTAGAATAGTGAAACATAATTGGTTTAGCCGATTTACGCAGTATAAAATTTACCGGCAAATAACACCAGCAAAAATAATCGTGTTTAAGAGATAAATGAAATCACGAGGAAACACAAGAAAAAAAAAAAAAACGTAGCAGATACGAACATTCCGACATGGACCAACAAGTAAAGGAGAAGAAGCAAAAATAAGCCCACAAGGAGGTCTCTTTCTTTCTCTCTCTACACTAAAAAAAAGAAACTTCTGTTTTTCATTCCATCAAAATCCGATCTCTACTGCATGGTACGTCCTTCCTTTTTATACATTTAAACTTTGCTTTTAAAAACTCCCTTAGAAAAAAAGATGTCCTTCCTTATCCAATATAAGGAAAGGATTTATCCAAGCATCACAAAATAAAATTATAACAAAATACTTTGTTGCTAAAATAAAATAATAAAAAATTCTATCCATACTAATAAAAATAACAAAAATAAAAATAAAAATAAAAGTTGTAGCAACCAAATCTTGATCTGCGTCACCGACTCAAAATAGTTGGAATAATGCTCGGATGATGAGGACTAATACTTTGTTACTATTATGATATTTATTATTAATATTAGAATATTACTATACTTATATTATTATTATATTAATAATATTAATAAAGATGTGGTTTCCATAAGGTTGCAACTTTAAAAATAACAATTAAGACGCACCTCCAAATTTTATCATAACATATAATTTTGTTGTAAAAAATCTTAGGAAAATTTATTTTCATCCTTAAATATAAAATTTTAAACTTAAAAAATAGTTCAAATCAAGTAGATCTATAAAGATATGAAAATCTTGAAAAAAGACAGTCTACATAATGTGTTGCAAGATGCACTATTTTTAGACTCAATATGTATATATATATATATATATTCATATTCATATCACTGTTGAGTTGATTAATTGAGTGTTTTTCAATACTAAAATAATATTTTCTGATAAATTTTTTAGGTGCACTTTAATTCTATATTTCAAGGTTGCAACATTATATAAACTTTTCCTAGATTATATTACTAATATTATAATAGATTAATAATATTATTATATTAATAATATCATTATAATACAATTTATTAATACAACCCAAATAGTGGATATGTATCTTCTAGTCTCTTATCATCTAAGAGATGCCAGTCTTAGGAGATATCAACATTACCTATTAGGAAGATAAACATCAAAGAAACCACAATCACATTACCTATTAGGATCGATGCTCATAACTAAAATATATACATTAATGATAAAAAACCAAACTAAAATGAAGATTAGACTGATTAGGGCTCATAACTTCTATGAACTTAGCAAATTCATGTTGTTAGTTTTTGGGAAAAAAGGGCATGGGTGAAGTTGTAATGGGTGAAATTTTTGTATAATTTTGGATTCCCCTTGCCTTGAGGCGCTGCACTGTGCAGCTGGCTCGAAAGATAAACAACAAAGAAACCATTAAGATCGATGCTCAAAACCAAAATATATACATTAATGATAAAAAACCAAACTAAAATGAAGATTAGACTGATTTGGGCTCATAACTTCTACGAACTTAGCAAATTCATGTTGTTAGTTTTTGGAAAAAAGGGCATGGGTGAAGTTGTAATGGGTGAAAATTTTGGAAATTTTTGGATTTCCCTTGCCTTGAGGCGCTGCACTGTGCAGCTGGCTCGATCCATAACAATGCCACCCGATGAATCTTGCTTGGCCAACTGGCCAGGCAACCGCTCAGGTATCTGGTGTACATGAGCGACGTTGCACAATGGCTCCCGCCCAGTTAGCCCATACCAATTTATAGTATGACCGGAGCAAGCCTACAGGGACCCGCGTTGTCGCCTGTGTCTCGCTCTATTTAGCTTTAGTGGAACAAGCACGACATTCCAAACCCTTGCTGCGTGGGATATTGGGAACACAGAAGGTGGACCTAAACACCTCAATGCAGACAGGGTTTCATCTTGAGCCTCTTCCACCCTTCGGTCCTAAGGGCATCAATTATTCTTTCAACACTTCTAAATACCTCTTTATTCCAATGAACAAATGCCTCCTTAAGTACCCTTCATTTCTGAGTAACTCTGTAGATCAAGCGGCCATTGACTGCCAATTCCCACTGTTGCCTGATCAACTGTTCGTAATCTGGATGTTGCATCCACATTGCTTGGAATTGAAATGGTATGGGGTTTGTGTACTCATGTATTTAAAGAGAGATGACGAGGGGGTAGTGATTCGAGAATTTTTTCTCTAGCACTTCAATCTTTGTATCGGGAAACTCATCGAGCCATCTCCAGTCAGCCATTGCATTGTCAAGTCGTTCCTCCACTCTCATAGGTCCAACATGGCGATTGTCTCATGTTAAACTTCTACTCTTGGGTGTGTGTGGCCATTAAAGGCCTTATGGGTGTTTTACATGAACTTAATGGGAGTGTGGTTCTGTGTGGACCACACTCACAGGACCACACTAAGCAAACGATGTTTCCTAATACTAGATTGAGCTTTACAAGCTAGGCCAGTCTAGTTAGGAAAAAATTATGTTATCTGGGCATAGAGAATAAACCGATAAGAATTATAATAGGTAATCCCTTGATGAGGTCGGAGTATACCGGAAGAGTGAGCCAAGAGATTGTGTAACCCTTGTGTGTGATGAAAGCCTTTATAGATGGGGCTAAAGCCTCATCCGGGTACCATCATACAACATCCACAATGATAGCTGTTTTCGGGAAAGCGAACCACCTTTCAAGGTGAAGCTTGTGAATATGCGAGAGATAACCTCTATGCACCATAGAACAATGGATTGCATCAGGTCTAGGAGACCTTGATTTTATCTCTAGAAAAAAAAATCTGAAATTCATAGATTGGAACTGCAACCCCTAGCCCATTGACTAAACTTTGGTGACCCATTAATGAGCCCTTGCATAGACTGTGGGTCATGGGCAATATTGGGTCTGTTTGAGAAAGGAAGTATGGACCAAGGACCACAGTAAAAGGTGGAGTGCCCAAGTGTATATTTATTCCTAAACCACACGGATAATTTTGCCCATCAAAGTATTTAATTATGTTTATTTTAATGTTATATGATTTTTTGAATTTTTATTTGAATTTTTTTAAATCTCTAGATTTTTTTTTATCAAATTTAGATTTGTACAAATAGAAATATTGATTTTACATTGATTTAATTATTTAAATATGATTTTATGAATTTCTAAAATCATAATATTTTTTTAATATATTTTTATTGCATGGGAGGCCTAGTAATATATATGGGCCCACCATGACAATTGGGTGGGGCCCATAGAGTGCCCACCTAGGGTGGCACACCCCACCTTGAGGAGCCTTCTAATTTTTTGAGCTTAAGCTCATGGCTTGAGGGAAAAAATATCTTGTGTTTTGGAAAGCTTGTGCTCTGAGGAAGCTTTGAATAAAATTTTAACATGTGTGAGAAGGCTTATGTATAAAATAAGAAAGCACAATACTATTATATATTATTGCTTATTTAAATTAATTGATAGGAAAATAGTTTAGGAAATGGGGGATAATAGTTCTAGCACGTTCCATATGATCTTGATGGCCCATTTATAGAATTGATGGCTCATATCTCTCACCCCACAAGTCACCCAAGATCAATGGTACATATTCAATCTCACAAGAAGAGGCAAATCATGGAAAACCCTAAAAAATCGTAAAACCCTTTGAAACACTATAAAAAAAGGATGGACCATACCTAATATTCTCTACACCATATGTTGTCTCTCTCTTATGAAAAGCCCTCTCTCATAAGCCCACATAGGGGGCATGCCTCTCTCTCTCTCGAAAACTTTTTCTCTCATTTTGCTAAACAAAGGGGCACATCCCACTCTTGGTCTCTTGGATCCCTCTCTCCCATCTTATGATTTAAAGCTAAGGGTTTAGGGTGTAGTAAAGGAGATGTTATCTCTCTCAACTAGGTTATCAAGGGGTTCTACCTAAGCTTGAGATTTGATTGAAAAATGAGTTCTTGTTTTATTGGAGGGTTGCGTAAATTACTTTCCCATGATTGAGATTGAAGGTTGATCATTGATCCCGTGTCATTGGAAGGTGGTGACTCAGTGTATCTTTTGTTTCTTGCATATTTACTTCTTGTGTCTTTATTATTTCCAAACATAGTTTGTCTTTCTTTTGGTTATTGAAAAAAAAGTTTTATATGGCATCAAGTTTTGAGATTCTATATTTATTTCTTTTATTTTATTTGAACTTGCTAAATCAAACATTTTATTGCCAGTGAGAAATTTTGAAACAAGCCAAAATTGTAATTGGGCTAAGAAATTGCATGATGCCCAAATGTTTGGATTTCAGACAAGCATCGAGTGTTACATCATAATGTTCATGAGCCAGATATATACAAGTTTAATCCCTACTCTAAGAAGCGATCACCAATAGTCCTTACAAGAGCACAATCCCTCTCTGAACTGGTGGAAACGATTGCAGTCTCGAACCACTATGTCACGACCAAAAACCTTTGACACCAACTTCATAAAGTGATGGCAATCCCTGCATATGCGAAGGTTCTTAGCTATTCTAATGACTCCATGGGAGCTCGTACTCAACAGCCCAAATGCAAGAGCCAATCTCTCACTATGGTGAGGGAGAGTGAGCTCCTCCCTCTCCTCACCCTTCCCAATTATTTCTTCTTCATACCTTTCAGCCTGTAACCTCTTCATGATTTGCCCTAGGGTTTCATGAATTTCATTAGACTGGCTATGTGATGTGTCTCCCATGACAAACTCATGAACTTCATAACCTATCTCAATCCAACTGCAACCCGATGGCTTTTTAGCCCCTCCAGCCCCTACCTTGACCCTGACCTTCGCCATCTCATCCCACCTTCCAGCCTTGGAGTATAAGTTTGACATGAGAACATAATGGCTGTCATGGGATGGCTCTAATTCGATTAATCGATCCATGGCATGCTCTGCAATCTCCACATTTCCATGGATATGGCACCCGCTAAGTAACGCTCCCCAAACAACAGCATTAGGCCTCAAGGGCATCTTATTTATAAGCTTTAGAGCATCATTCAACAACCCTGCACGCCCAAGCGTGTCGACCACACACCCATAGTGCCTAATATTTGGCTCAATTTTGTATTTGCTTGCCATTGAATTGAAATAAAACCAGCCTTCGTTCACCAAACCACCATGGCTGCATGCACACAAAAGAGCTACAAATGTCACCTGATTGGGTTGCTGCCCACTCTCCCCCATCTCCTCAAAAAGCTTGAGAGCCTCACTACTCAACCCATGTATGGCAAGGCCGTGAAGCATGGAATTCCATGACTGCACATTCTGATTTTGCATGCCATGAAAGACTGTGAGGGCCTCTTCCACACTCCCACACTTGCAATACATGTCTATTAGTGCAGTTCCCATGTATACGTTAGCCACGAGACCATTCCTTTTCACATAAGAATGGACCCATCGACCGAGTTCCAAAGCACCAAGGGAGGAGCACATGGAGAGTAGGCTCACAATGGTGAACTGATCAGGTTTCACCCCAGCCCCTTGCATCTCTCTAAAGAGCCTTAAACCCATGGTTACATATCCTGCCTTTGCATATCCATCAATCATAGCGGTCCACGAGACGACGCTCCTTACAGGCATCCTTTCAAACATTTGGCTCGCCAAAGCCAGCACACCGTGAGCTAAGTACAAACTCAGAATAGCGGTTTGAACAAAAAGATTGAGACCCAAGTTGCGTTTGATTGCCTGACCATGAATTTGCTCGCCTTCAAAAAGCGCAAAAGCCTTAGAGCAAGATTTAAGAACAGAAGGGAGAGTGAGTTCATAGCCATCATTGTTACTCCCTCGAAGCTCAAGCATTTGCCTAAACAGAGAGATAGCATCCTTCCGGTTGGTCCCATGATCTGCAAAGCCTCTGATTATGGTGTTCCACGACCGTGGGCTCGGGTCTACGAAGCTGTTGAAGATACACAGAGCATAGTCCAGGTTACCAGGGGAATGGCAAGAGATGCAGGCGGCTAACAGCTTGGCTGCAATGAGGGTCCCTCTGTGCTGCAAACCAGATTTGATGATCGATGCATGGGCTTGCCTTAGTTGGGTCAATGTGTTACATTGCTCAATTAAAAGGAAGCATCGTTTTTCTTGCGAAATTGGAGAGGAGTGATCTGGTGGGCGAGTAGTTGGAGATAATTTTACATGGGTTGTGCAAGCTTTTGCTAGAAGGATCACCATGGCAACTTACATGAGATAAATTGGTTTTCAACAAACAAAAAGTATCCGATATTAGAAGCGAGCCTTGATCATTGTCTTATAGATTAGGGAGTTTAGAGGGGGGTCTTCAAGATAGAACCGGTGAGGAATTACCAAAGCCTATAATGGAAAGGAAAATGTTTTAATAGAGCTGCAACACTGCCAAAAGAAATAGAGCCTCACTTCAAAACGCAAAACTTATCCAAGAGATAGATGAAAAAACCTTAGCCAAGACCTATACCCTAATTTCCTATTAGTGGCAATTCATAATAATGTCCAGCCCGCATGAAACAATTGTTCTTTCATGAATTTGAGTTGCCAAACAGGTAGTGTGCCTCAAAACACCTCCCAGCCCATAAAACTAAACCATCACGATATTTTTCATGAATTTGAGTTGATAAACAGTTAGTGTGCCTCACAGTACCTCTCGGCCATGGAACTAAACCATCGCAATTGTTTCCACACGCATCCATGCACACACCCTCACACACTCAATGTAGCCGTCAGATGCTTTGCATGCCTCACATTTGCTTTGTCTCATTCTATGAACACAAATGGAGTGAGGGCTTCTTGATATATATATTTGACTCTCATTCCAATTGCCAAGCCTCACATTTGCTTTGTCTCATTCCATGAACACAAATGGAGTGAGGGCTTCTTGATATATATATTTGACTCTCATTCCAATTGCCAATGTGGGACTAGAAGCACATCACTCTTCCTAGTGAACGAGCCAAAAGTACACTTTGCAAAACTAAAGCATTTGTACTTTTTTTTTTTTTGGGTTGATCCGTGGAGAATGCAAGCCCCTACCCATTTTTGAAAATAATTACCAGTTTTCAAATGCGTCAATGGGAATGAAAACCTAGATCGGTAGCTAAGATTCAAGTGGTGCTACCAGCACGACCTCAACCCCATTCCCAGCATTTGTAATTATATTATTTTGAAATAATGTAAACTATTTGTCTATACACAATCATTTGTTCAAGCAAGCATTATTTCCTATAGCCTATGAGACTATGGTGTACTTCTCCCCATAAGATGCATGAGATACCAAAATGAGGTTGTTTCCATTTGAACGCTTTATGATCCACACAAATATCAAAAGCAAAAACTGGAAAAGAAGAGAACAAGAAAATTTTTCAAAATTGAAATTTGCCACGGGACCGGCTCCATCTTCACAAGAAGCCCCAAAAAGCCTAAAGGTCTCAATATGGCCTCAAGCAGACGCAAAACCAGGCATCGGATTAAAACTTCACCACTATTACTCACACGGGACTTGGACCATTGAACAAGGCAGCCCTGATAAATTTGCTCAAAATTTGATGGGTTTGGGCAACTCGATTCATCTTAAGACTCGCCTGAATCAAACTGAAACAGATAAATGGGTCTGTTCTCCAAAACACGGCTACTGAGGAGAGACTCTTTTCTTTTTCAATAAACTAAACATGAATCGGCCAAAACAGCACAGTTCAAATTCACTACAACTTGGTAACTAAAGGACAGGCAAATCAGTTAGTTTTCATTAACGGTACAGAATTCAGCAAATCAGGCAGCTTGCATGATATCTTCTTCTGCATTCCACAAACCTTCAGTAAGTTTGCCCATTTTGCAATTACTGTATGGGCCAAACCAGTCATTGAGCTTTCACAAGGCTAAACCTTTGTCCAAAGACTTTGATTGTGCTTAGAGCACAGCAAACATACCACTGACCTCCACCAGCCAAGTAGGCACAATGCATGTAATTTGACTACCGCACAATGTCACATTTCCAACATTTTGATCAGAGATAGTAATCATCTGTATGGTTGTATTTTTAATCCGACATTTCCCAGGCATCGATCTAGATGCCTGGAGATGCGTCCCATATATCCCAAAAGCAAACAAAATATGTACTTTGAAGGATATAATCAACAATTTTTGAAGGAATTCCAACCTAATAAATAACCAGTTCTCTTTGCCAACATCACTAAAAATCCCCACAACCTCAACTAAGGACGCATACAAGTTCCAAAGCTTGGTGCTTCCTCAAATGTGATCAAGCCACTGATGTGGAACTCCAAGATATCCAAGTCGTACGACACCTAAGAGAAGGGACCCAATCACAAGAAGTCCTAACCAAGCAGAATAATCTGTCAATGCATAAGCTGCGATTATCCGCACAAAACTGATTAACTTCTCTGGGGGTGGTAGCAGATTAATTTCAAAGCTCTAATAGCACTTACTAAAAAATCCAGTCATTGGCACACTGTCTGCCTCTTGGAGCTGTTCCTAGAGCAGCCTACTACAAAAATAAACATGAAAAACTATTGACCACGCTCGGGCCAAGGCACTGGCATAAATCACCAAGTTCTGTAATTGTTGTTGCCCCCAAGCACCCATAGGAATTCACAAAACATCAAAAAGAAATCAGTCACAAAACAATGTAGTATGTTTATAAAGTATAATGACGCAGAAGTACCCACAAGGTTTGAATTACACAACCCAATCGTAAAAGTAATCCATGCTATTGGATTACATTATTTTACCAACAGTTTAATAACGAGATTATAGCCATAAATAAGGTATGCAAATGATCGCCATTGCCTGATATCCAGGAACAGAATCACTGCTCAACCTTCACCAGAATGCTCGAACCCTCAAGATGGTCAGAAACTTTCTTAGAGAGATCAGTTAGTAACACGTCACCACTATCTTCATATCCAAACATTAGCAGCCTCCCAATTTTGAACTTCCACTCTGAGCTGTCCTCCTCACTTTTTTTATCATGTACAACCCTGGCGCAGTAATTGAGCAATGAGCCCAATCCAGTGTTTGGAACCCAACCATATTCTTCCAGCACATGAGCCTCAGCCTCTGACAAATCTTCTCCAACCTGAAATGTGTAAATAAAAAAATAATATATTAATAAAAAATTGAAACTAAAAAAAAAGAAGAAGATGGAAACCATTGGAAAGTTTGAATATATTGTTTAAAAACTCAACAAACTGACTCGGGACTCACCTGAGTCAGCTTGTCTCGGGACCTTGGTAGCCCCAGGCTAGTAACTCAAGACTCACCCGAATCTAATCTTTTTCTAGTCCTTCTGTTAATTACTTATAGACTTGGATGAGTCTTGTTGAAGATTCGCTGAGTTGAATCAGCTAACTTGGCCTCAAGACCCCCTAGAGAGTCCCGACTCTAGTCCAGGTTCTTAAAAACACTGGAAGTATAAATTAACTTTAAATTCTTAATTGCAAAGCTAGATTAAGCTCTTACTCTTTTTCTATATCCTTCTTCTACTAGCTATACATAAAGGGGGCTAGCATAATTATAGGTAGCAAGAGGAAAGTCTGGGTAGGCAAGTAGCTAGCTATAGATAGGCAAGGAGCTATAGGTAGCTTTACCTTTGAGTCTTGTTTATAATTAAAGCTAAAACGATGCTTTAATATTTATATTGAATCATCAATTCTTTGTGACTTGGGAAGTTTGCAGAGGTTCATGGCAATTAATTGGAGGTCAATCAAGGGGCACAATCTTGTAGTATTCCACCTGTGCATGGAAACGAGCCGGAGGGTGTGCATGGAAACAAGCCAGGGGGTGCCCCCGACATAGCTTGACATTGGAAGTATCAGAGTTATTCAGCAACAAACTGGGCAAGGAATAATATGAGGGGTCCATGGTCCATTCGAAAGGCAAAGTGTCAACAAAAGTCAAGAACTAATTTGACGTCCCTCTTGGTGGTGCCAGATTCACATCGCTTAACAACCAAGTCATGATGACAATCCTGGACAGGTTTTTCTGACACAAGTAGAAAGTCCACTTCCATTTAGGGACCATATCCCCATTTGGTTGGGTGCACCTTTGGCTGGAAGGCCCATCTCGAGAATCTTTCATCTTAGTAAGCACAGAGACTACACCTCTAAGAAAGAGAAAGTGAAGAAGATCCACGAGGAATAGCCTGAGGATCACCATAGGAACGTCAATCATGGTGGCAGAAACACCAAAACCGTAAAGGAATCCATGATTAAAAGCACATTATGGTAGCAAAAGTGCCTCAAGAATGCAAGATTACAACTAAAAATACAAGTTTAAGAACAACTGTCAAGACTCACAGAGGTTCCAGGATTGGAATGAGGCGTAGTGGTTTACTAAGGATCAGAGATGAAGAAAAATGCAAAATGGGGAATAAAGTCCACTGGCTTAAGGGGAACCCAATGTATGAAATAGATCCCTTTCGCTTCTTGAGAATGAAAAAAGGTCATTGCACTATAAAAATTCACAATAATAAAGGATTAAACTATAATTCTAACAAAGAGGAGAAAGCAGGATGTGTCTAAAGTTTGTTGGCACCAAAAATCCAAAGGAAATTGTACAAGAGAGGGCTTGTAATACAAAAATCTTCTGGAAAAATGCAAGTACTGGGAGGTGAAGCAATAATCTTTGCATAAATATTGGGGTGAATAGGATGTCATTAAGGAGAGGTTCTCAATGTGATTGTGAAGTTTCTAATGGAGATATAATAAAAAGGGAGCAAGCTAAGATATCTGAATACTTTTCAGTTTTTCTTTTTTTGAAATACGACATCTGGATACTTGAATATGTTTGGTTTTCTCCCTAAAGCAAGGTTAACAAGATGTTCACAACTTGTTGAGAGCTACCCTAAACCCTATAAAGAATATGGACCCCATGTTCACCAACAGCCATGAAATATATTTATTAACAAACATGTGAATGACCCCTTATTCCCTAATATTCTGCTGAAACATCCTCTGAATGTTATGATAATATTTACTTGAAGTAGTTTTTGAGAGTTCTAATTAGTTTGCATTCTAGGTCTTTGGTTCGTGATGCACTTATCTGGTTTTTATTACTAATTAGCATAGAGTGCAACATGTTAACTAGCTGGTCGTGATTTTTACAAGTTAGCTGTTATGTCTGTAATTGCTAACTTGCGTTTATTATTCTTATATACAGTGTGTTTCATCATTAACTGCTGTTTATTGCTCTCCACATAGCATGTTTATATGGGATCTCATTGTTTAAATATTTTGAATCGTGTCTCATTGTTAAATGGTGTGTATAATTCTTTCAAATGGCACCACATAGCTGATCAGGAGTCAACAGCTCATCGAAATTCTCTGATACTTGCATGTTTTCAAAATTATCTTTTTATGTACATGATCAGCTATGTAATTAACTATGCCATGTAAGAGAATTATACACACCATTTAATGATAAGACAATTCAAAGCAATTAGATCCCATTCCTAGACAAACATGCTATGTGCAAGAACAATAAACACAAGTTGATGATGAAACATGTTGTATAGGAGTAATAAACACTAGTTTTTCTTATACTGTCAACATTGTATTAATGAAAAGGAAGTCACAATACGACCCCGAGAAGCTAACATAAAACATCACCAGGGGGGTGACAAACAAACAAACAAAAGGCAAAAAAAAAAGAGGCCCCCTAGGAAATTTGAAAATAAAGAAAACAACCAAAAAACAGTTGCATGTGTAATAAACACTAGCTAACGATGAAACATTCTGCACATGTTAATTTGCATGTTTAATTTGGATTTCATTGTTGAATTATAATTACTTGTGTATAATATGCAATGAGCATGTATCAAATTCATTCCATATTAATTTTGTCCATGTATAATTTGTTTTTCATTCCTAAATGGTTTAGATAACTCTGAGGTCAGGGAGCACACTGACACCTAATCTATAAAAGTCACAATCATCACCAAAGAGACAAAAATGAACATCCATAGTTTGGAATGATTTTGAATTAATCATAGTTAATCGGATTGAAAATGCAAAATGTAAACATGGAGGTGGGAATTTAGGATGTCAAGGCGAAGATGGAACAAGCCAAGTAGACACTTGAAGTCAAGATGCCTGTAATAGGTCTTTAGGGATAAAAATCAACAAGTTTTGTAATTTAATCAAACTGCATGGAAGAGAGGATGGAAAATCTAACTTCAAATTTAACCTAGAAAGGAGTTGTTAGGAGCTCATGTTTATGATTATTATGCATAAGTATCCCCTTCTAGCGACACACACAAAGGATTTTGAAGATCTACTAGAAATATCCAACTGCTATTCAAGATGGTTTCTCAAACAATTATCACAAAGGCTTTCATAAATATATATGAGAAGGAAAAACATAATTTTAAAGAGTTGTTGAGGAATTCAAGTGTTGAGATTATTTCATATCCGATATGTGGACGTCCATTCAAACTCCTGATTATATTGCACTTACAATGCATTGCATTGAATAATGATTGATTGGTAATAATAAAAGGAGTAATTAATTTTTGCATGATACTTTCACCAAATACAGGGCATGCATTCACAAATGTTATTTAAAGCGTCTCAAATTGGAGCGTTGAGAGGAAAATATTTTGGTATTACTTTGGATAATTATTCAGTCAATGATTCTATAAGCACAGGCCAGAGAGAACACTTCTCTGAGATGGGCGCACTTCTTACAGTTCAGTTATCCATATGTGTTGTGGTATTCACATCCTCAATCTCATGGTGCAGGATGGATTGAACGAAATAAAATGATCATTGATAAGACCTTTAGGAGTGTAAAAGATGCCAAAGCATCCCAAGGTCGAGAACAAATAATGAGCTTGTACAGCAAATGCAAATTCGAAGTAACACAGGCACGTCCTTAGATGTTCAGAAATAAGGAGTAACACACGCTAGAGTTTGCCTTTGTATATAAGCACGTCCTCCCCACTTAGTAAAAAAGTCATTCAAACTTTAATGAAGCCCCAACAACAAAGGGTGAATTAAGGATGAATTCTTGTCATTTTCTAAAGGAAAAAGTTTATATAAGGACGCAACCTTATAATGTAGAACTACGGAGCACCTCAAAAATACATCGGAAAAGGTAGTTTTAATGTTGAAAAACCCTTTGATTGATCATCTTGACATCGAGATGTATGACCATGAAAAATAAAAAGATTTCAAGTCTCAGAAATAGTGCATTTTACAACATATTATCTACACCGTCCATTTTCAAGATTTTCATATGTTTATAGATCTACTTGATTTTAACCATTTTTTAAATTTAAAATTTTATAATTAAATATAAAAAT